GGTTGGGTGGCTGCAATTCGCTCTCGCACGAATGTGGCGTGTGGGGCAGGAAGACCTTCAGGCCGGCACAAAGGCGGGGCGGCAGGGGAGCACCGGACAGTCACAGTCCCCGGGACAAAGGGTCTTTTGTACCCATGTCCGCCTTTCGCCAGCTCGCTCGGCTGCCGCTGGGAGAGGCTGGGGGGCTCCCGGGGATGTGAAGATGCGGCAGCCCAGCAGGCGACTGCGCCAGGTGCTGTCCAGATGTGCTGGAGTGCTCCCAGCATGGTTGGCTGGGGGATGCTGGGAGCTGGAGTCCAGCCCCCAGGTTGCGGGCGAGCGCCTCCTGACTCCTTGCTAAAGGAGCAGGCCGATGAGGGACCGGGCTGCCCCTGGGACCCCTCCTAGGCAGGGCTGAGCGGGGAAGGAAGCGCCATGTCTCTGGTGAGCAATGGGGCAGCCTGAGACCCGGCCGTGTGAGGGCGGCCCCGAGCTGACCTGTGACCTCCCCCACTGCGCCCAAGAGCCCACCAGCTATGGGTCTGCTTTGCACCGGAAGGAGGCCTGTGCGGCGGCTGGAGGAGGCAGGTTTGGGGCAGGGGGTGGCCCGAGCTCCTTGGGGCACCTGGGGCAGGTCACCCTTGCTCTGCCCGGCTCCCCTCCCTCGGAAGGCTAGGAGAAAGCGCCCACCTCTCTCGGAATATTTGTGGAGCCTCCCTTTTCTCTCCAGGTAAGAGGCGATCGAGAGCACACCTGTTCCCCAACGGTGACTCCGGCGTTTTGCGTCTGCGCATGGACAGCTCCTTCCGGCTGGCTGCCCGGGGCCCCTCCGGAGTCACCCAGCTCTGGGGCAATTCGACTTTGGGGGGAGGGTTCGATTGTATTGTGCACCAGCTCAGCGTGCCAGGGTTGAGTGTGGGCTGTTGCCGAATCATGGTTTGTTCCTGAAACGTGTTGCTGTGTCGCCTGAAGCTGCTGTGCTAGCAAACCACGGCTTGTCAACTTTGGGCAACCGTGAGCAGCCAGGAAGAGAACATGGGTTGTTCATTGTGGCTTGTTTTCTCGGCTGAGTTCAGGCAAAGCAAGAGCTCACATTTCGACTGGAAACTCGAGTCAGAGAGGTCAGGAAACAAGCAGCTATGCTGGAGGTTTAAAAAACAGGATGGATTTATTAGAATGTCACTGCAGAAACGTCATCCTGAGACCTTGGTGACAGGCAGGGTAAAAATGCCTTAAATAAATCTCACTCGCGTGTGACAGCTTGCGAGGGCTCAAGGCGCTGTACCTGTTTGACGGGAAGTCATGGCTGACCCAAAACCCATTCAGCCTGCAAGTGTGTGGGTTATTGTGTGGTCCAAACGCAGTCAGAGTGATGCACTGGTCCGGGACTTAGGAAATCTGGGTTTGAAGCCACACATATTTTATATATTTACAAAATTTGTATGCTGTCCAATTACTCGCGTCTCTGGACGGCTAACAGCACCAGTATGAAAAATAAGGCTTTATTGCCAATTTCAGAGTAAGACATATTTCAGTATCGCACATATTCCAGAGGGCAGGCAGGGCTGGGGGGAGTAAAGGGGAGGGGTAGGAAGACCATTCCCGTCCCACACGAAGCAGGCCTGCTGTTTCGTCGTATCTCTGCTTGGAAAGTCATGGCCCTGAAGCTCACGCAGTGCCTTTGGACCTCCTGCTGACCTCAGGGTAACCTACCTCGCAGGACTGTTGTGAGGATAAAAGAGGGAGGAGATGGGCCACCTCCAGTTCCTTGCAAGAAGAAGAAGAAAGTCAAGATAGAAATGTAATAAATATAATAAAATCACTCGGAGAAGGTGGGTCAGGACGGCATAAAAGCCGTTTGGAGCTCCCTGGCTGCGGTTCTGCGCTTGATGGCGTGCAGGAGCGGAGAAGAGGCGGGAGGCTTTTTCCAGCCTAGTCTCTGAGCCGTCCCTGGAGTGCCATCTCTCCCGGGGGAGTCAGCGGGGACGGGTGGGAAGCTTCGCAAGAGGCTTGCTAAGGCCGAGGGTCGCTCTCATTTTCCCCTCTCTCACATCAGAGATCAGGATGCAGCACGGACACCGGCTGGCACCGTTCTCGGAACTTAATCCCGCGGGACGAGCCGCTGAGCCAGCTGCCTCCACATGTTTGTCTGTGGAGTGTTTATCTGTGCCGGGAAAAGTTGGCACAGGCCCGGCGTCGGGTGGGCTTGCGAGGGAGGGCAGGCCGGAGAACCCGCAGAGCCACGCAGGGTGGGGCTGAGCCGGCCTTCCAAAGCAAGGCGGGCACCCGATGCGCTTTCAGGGGCTCCTTTATTCTCCCTAAAACCCCAAGACTGGCAACCGGGCCCAGGCGCAAGAGCGTGGTTCCGCGAGACAGACCTAGAACTGTGGGACAAGGGTGCCTCTGAGCACATGCTCGCCAGCCAAGGAACTGGATTTTACTCCCGGGACTGGATTGCGACTACTTGGGAAGGGCAAACCATGTCTCGATTTTCCATGTGTGGGTTTGTCTCAAACTGAGAATTTCCCCTCTTCAATATGGTTCATCCCAAACATTGAGAGTTTTGAAAAGTTGCATGAAAAATTGAGAATGTTTTTGTGAACAAAATGAACATCTCTGTTTTTTCCTAAGATACACACAGTTTGCAGGCAAGAATCCCCATAAAACACATTTTTACCCCTGCTTTTCCTAATACTCTTTATTTATTAGATTTATATCCCAACTTTTTTCTGACAAAGAACTCAGAGCGGCTCACATCGTTCTCCTGCTCTCAGTCTTATCCCCACAACAACCCTGTGAGGTAGGCCAGGCTGAGAGTCTGGCCCAAAATCATCCACTTGGTTCCTTGGCTGAATGCAGAGCAGTGAGAATTTTGCAGGGTAATTGAGCTGGACCAGCAAATCTTGAAAATGTGAAATTAGTGATTTAGAACAAATGTGCAAAATTAGGGGCGAGCGCCTTCCTGTACTTGCTGGATGCCTGCTTTTGCATTCAGATCTGCTCATGCTTCACTCCGGGCCTCCTTGATTTTAGCAGCCTAATTTAGAAGCGGGAAGAAAAGGCTTTTGGCTGTCACTACTGTTAAATCACTGAGAGTCAGAAACCCCGCGATCTAGGGAATGTTAATTATCGGGCAGATGAGAAATGTTCGTAGGGTGAACGAACATTTGGTAAACGGCTTGGCGATCTACCAATAAATGCCATCTGCCCGCCACTTCTAGGACCTGCAGAGTCACTCTGTCGTGGGGACCTCAGCCTCCAAAACCGGGCCAGGTATTACACAGGAAATGCACCTCTCTAAATATTTGCCGAGAATTATGCCTCTGCGGCTCTGTGCCCTGCCAGGAGCAGCGGGGTTCCAGCTTTTAAACTGAACTGTAATTTGAACTGACTTGGCCACTGATCCCTTCTCAGCCTCTTCTGGCTTTGTTTGCTTTCAGGAGGCTAAGCTCTGGCAAAGACCCTTGCTTTGATCGAGCAGATGGAGTTTTGCAAAGCTTGGCTTAATGAGCTTAACTGAGGCCACTGAAGTCTTGAAATCTGCTTTGCTCCCGTCCAGCAGAATGAAAACCTGTGCAGCCTTGCCTTGAGTCGAGTGCCGAACTGCTGACTTGGCAAAGCGCGGTGGACGGAATGAGACGTGTCTGATGAACCTGACCAGATCCGAAGCAGACTTCGCCTTTCCCTGTGTGGCAGTGTCCGCCAGGTGTTTCGAGCAGGACTTATGGGACTTGTAGTCCAGGATCTCTAGAAGGCACCCACTTGTGGAACGCTGATAGAATCCTTTCCGCAAGTGGCCAAGGGAAACAGGCAAGAGCCCGTGTGCCCAGCGCCCTCCTTCGTGGCCGGACGGGAAGGTCAGGCTGCCATGGGAGTGGGTCGCGCCCCTTCGCCGGCCACTGGTTTCCTTCCGGACGCCGAGCCACGAGGTCGTCGTGCCCTCGAGGAAGGGGCTGGTGGCCGCGCGGCAGGGGCACTGGGTGTGGGCCGGCACCGCCGCGATGGGGCACGCAGGGAGCCGCCGGCCCACTCGGTCGGGGCCCCCTGTGAGCCTCCCATCCCTCTTGCTGCTGCTCTGGCGGCTGGCGTGTAGGAGGCGGCAAGGCGACGGCGGCCGCGTTCTTCCGTGCCCAGCAGATGCTTGCCGTGGGGCGGAGGCCGCCCCTGGCACGTCCGTGCGCCATGAGAAGGCTGATTGTGCGAGGCACACAAAGACGCCTCTCCCAAAAGCCCGCCAGCACACCCTCTCTGGCCGAGACTACAAAAGGGCCGCTGTGGATGCGATGGCAGGCCCGGGGCACCCCTGCCCCCTCCGGCTCTGTTGGGGCGAGAGCTGAGCGGCTTGCCGGCGACCTCCTCCACGGAAGGGATGAGCTCACAGCAAGGAACTCGCTCGCTCGCTCGCTCTTGACGCGGTTTGTGAGGAGCAGAATCCAGACCCTGGGAAGCCACACCGCAAGCCTGCAGGCTAGTTCAGAGGGCCAAGGACTGCCGGAGTGGGCTCAGACAAAACGATGACCCACACATGGGGTGCGTGTGGGTTGGTGCTGAACTTTTGCCTGAATGCGACTGAGGTAACCAACCACGCTGAAACACCCACCGTTTGCAACCCATCCACACTCTGGGTTGTTTGTGGCTAACAAGCCTGGCTTATGGGTGCAGCTGGGTTCAGACAGCACAATTACCCACATTTTTGAACAGCAACCCATGGTTCAATGACAACCCATACACAACCCTCAGTTGTTGGTTATCGTGTCGTCTGAACCCTGGAATATGCAGCTCCGTCCTTTAACCAAGGGAAAGAGCCAGGAAGTCTCGAAGGAACAGCTCGGAGTCTGCCCCCAGTCCACGTGGCCACCTGAGGCGGTAACCTTGCTCTGCTTAAGGGCACGATAGAAAAATGATACCATCCCAGATCAATTTATTCAAAACCAAGTTATCTTTGAAATTAAGTTTTTTAAAAAGGACATCTGCAAACAGTTAAGAAAAACACGAGCGTTCACAAAGGGAAGCAAAACGAGTTGGGATGGTTGTATTTTTTTAATGAAACTCAGTTTCAGACACACAGAAATGAAAATATTAGTACTCTCATGCAAAAGTCAGCCTCCCCCACCTTTCCTCCCTTTGGCATTAGCAACAGGTGAGCTGTAGGAAAGTCGGAGGCTGCCAAAAGCGATGCCCCCTTTTCCTCCCTGCTCGAGTGCATTGGCACAGCCTTGGCACTGAATCCTGAGAATGCCTGCAGCCTGTATCTTCAAAGTTCTAGTCCTCATGGGCACAGGCATAAGCTTAAAAACACAATAGCACATGCAGCTAAATGTATCAGAAACACCAAACGGAAAGATGCTTCGGCTTCTCTTTCTTGGCACTGACCAATGCTGAGAAGCCCAAAAGATGGCTGGGTGCCGACTGCCCATCCTGAGGTTATATTAAGAACATGCTTGGGAGCGGCTTGGGAAAAAGCTACGCTCACTAACGGGAGTTACAAATCATGTCTCTATCTCCAACAGCGCTCCTTACAACAAAGGTCCTAAGTCTCAGCCAGTTTATGTTTGCATTTTTATTATGTATTAGTACATTTATATTTTGGCTTTGTTCCCCTTGCAAGAAGCCCAGGGCAGCTTGCAAGCTCCTCCTCCATTTCATTCTCCCAGCTCCCTGGCCTCGTGCGCACGGGTGCTGCAGAGAACGAAAGGCACGTTGGCACCCCGATTCCAAATTCTGCACTTGCCCAGATTCGCTGGGCAAGCCGCTGGGGCATGTTGACCAGCCTGTGAACTGGGCCGGCTAAGAAGCCCCGTGGCTAATTGGGGATTTGGACCCAAGTCCCAGTCCAGTACTCCACACGGCACCACCGCGGCTTTGGTGAATGCCAAGTTGACCCCCCCCACCTCTCTCTGGGGGCATTCCACTTAAACCCACCTGCAGACCCGAGCAAGGCTGAATCCCCGGCGTTCCACAACCCCACGGGGTCCTTGTGCCAAAGCCCATTTCCCCCCTCATCCCATCAATTGCTGTTGCTGCTTTCTTCCAGGACCAAAAAGCCTGCATCCCATAAACTGGGGACTCCGTCGCTTCTGAGGGATCCTGTATGGGAGAAGGCATGGCTAGGGAACCTGTGCCCAGGGCGATGTAGAAAGTATTGCAACGGGAGGTGTGGGTTGCAAGAAGGAGGAGGGGGGCTGGGGCTTTCCACAATTTTGCCAGCGCAACATTTCAATCCCTGTAATACAGGTGTCCGAATTTGGTGTGCTCAGGATGTGTTGGACTACAACTCCCATCAGCTCAGCCACCGAGCCCAAGGGGCCTGGCACGTCTGAATGGCGCCAGTCGTGGGGAGTCTGGCGGAAGGGCAGCTTTTGTCTGAGCAGGTTCTGAGATCGACGCTGGATCGGACCACGGGGCCTGCGCCGCTGTGCCCGTTTCCTAGGGCAGGGGTGTTGGTCCAGAGGGCAGAGCCTGCAAGAGTCCACACCCCGTTGCCTCAATTGAAAACAAAACCGGCCTTTTGTCCTCTCCGTCCCGCCTCCAGTCAGTGGGAGCGAGCGCTCCGTTCCTGCACAGATGCGCACACGCTTCCTCACCGTCTACATCCCACTACGTAAAACGCAGAGCCAGCCTATTTTAAGCAGGGTGTTTCCGAAAGGAAACTCTACAAGGGCGAAAGGCTGAGCCAGGGGGCGGGGGGAGAGGCCGTCCTTCCTTCCATTGTCTCCCCAGCTGCCCCGGCCCCTGGAAGTCCTGACATGCTCCAGAGAAGTCTTGCATAGGTGAGCGGCCGTCCGCCGGGGAGGCGGGGACGAGGCAGGGCTGCGCACGGCTCCGCTCCGTGGGCCCAAGTTCTCCCCCCTCCGGGGCCGAGGCCACGCCGGCGCGTCGAAGGAGGCTCGTCCCGGCCGCGATCCGCTCGGGGGCCCGGCGCTCAGGCGACGAAGCGCAGCCTGTAGGTCACCTGGTGCCCGTTGTCCCAAGCATAGAGGACCCTCTCCTTGGGGTTGTAGTCGATCTGCGTGACGAAGGAGAACGCGCTGCGGAAGAGCAGCTTGGGGTTGGCCTCGGTGCCCGTGTGGGTGTCGTAGGCGTAGAAGACCTGCCCCTCCTTGGCGCTGGGCTCGTCCGTGGCGTAGAGGATGCCGCAGATGAGGAAGCAGTTCCCGTAGGAGCGGCGCTTGAGGCCCGTCTTCCACGTGGTCTCCCGGTGTGTGGAGAGATCCGTCGGGTCCAGCCTGCTCACCACGATGACCTCCTGCTCAGAGGAGTCGTAGTCCACCGACGGGTAGATCACCCACAGGCCGCTCTCGTCCACCGCAAAGTCGATGTCCGAGTGGCCCCGCCACTTCCACGGCGTGGCGTCCTCGTAGAGCACGTCGTGCAGCTGGGACCACGCGGCCACGAAACGCTTCTGCAGGTCGTACTTGATGAGGTTCTTGGTGAAGGCCCGGTTGTAGTAGAAGGCACCCCGGAAGACCACGTGGCCGGTGCCAATCCAGTTGTAGGGCAGCTTGTACAGGTTGGTCCAGCGCCCTAAGACAGAGCAGCCCCGCAACTCAGCCCGGGGTTCAGCAAGGACCCGCTCCCGACCCGCACTCACGCGCGTGGACCACGTCCACCTCTCAACAATTAGCGGAGGACTAGCGATCCTCTCCGGATGATCTGCCCTCGGCTGGCGAGGTCTCCGTCCCCTAAGCGCCCCTTCCCTCTGAGCTTGTGCCGCTGAACAACCGCAGCACAACTTCGTGTGAAATACCAGTTTCTGGGACTGATCCCCATCTTCTTTTATACCTACCTGGGGGAGCCCCTATTTTGTACCCAGGATCTTGGCAGAAAACCAGAATGGATACGTCATGTGTGAACACTGCCTATTCTGGTCCGTGCTGAGTAGCAGCAGCTTCTCCAGTTTGAGACAGACTTTCCAAGCTCTGCCTGGAGGCACTGCGGACTGACGCCTGGGCCTTGACTTGCAGAGCAGGGGCTCTGTTGATAAGCTGACACGTCAATTGATGCTCGAGGGTTCAGTATGATATAGGGATAGTTGTCGCTGACCCATGGGTCGTTTTCGAAATGTGGGTTGTCTGAACCCAGGCAGATTTTTTAAAAACCATGGTTTGTTGACCATAAACCACCCACGGTTTACCACCTGGCGACAAAGCGAGGGCTGCTCCCCTTCCTGGGTTGTTCAAAATTCCCAGCAAGCCAAATCAGCCCACCGGACTGAAAAGGTTGGGGGCGCCTTGCTCAAACCAGGAGGTTGAATAGACGAATCGGAGAGGCCTGCCAAGAAGGAGCCAAGAAGAATCCTCCTCCGTCGAAAGATGGGGAACGCATGGAGACCGAGCAAGGCACAGCATAGGAGAAACTAATGAAGGAACTAGTTGGGATGAGAAGAGGCAAGAAGGTGTTTCCGAACTAGCACTTGGGTCAGCCCTGGGGATGGATCCCCGTGTCACTGCAACCTGGAACTGAAGGTCACCTGCGAGCCAGCAGGTCCTGCCACCGCTTCTGGGGTGTGTTGGGAAAGTCGCGGGCAGCCCAGCCCCTCTGGCCACCTGGAAGCCCCGGACGCAGCCCCCCTCCCACCGGAGGCGTCTCCGCCCACTGGTGCTGCCTGCCCCTCACCTTGCTTGAAGCTGTCCAGGTTGCGGAACTCCACCAGGCTGTTCCCGTAGTAGTAGTTGGTGACGTAGATGCGGTCGTCCTTGGCGGTCGGGTCCTTCATCCAGGCGCCCTCGTTGCGCCCGTAGCTGTGCTGCTCCTCGGGGGCCTCCACCGCCTCCAGGGTGCCTTCGCACTCCGCCTCGCGCACTGGGGAGCCGACAGCGGGAGGGTCGGGCGCTGGGCGATGGCATCCCCTCGCCCCCCAGCTGGTGCAGCTCGCCTCGTGTCAGGAGAGCCGCGCACTCCGGCTAAACGGGCACCGAGGCCGACGCCACCCCTGCCCACCCTCCGCCGCGCTCGCCCGGGTGAAGCGGACTCTCGTCCCAGGGTCTGGGGAGACGGGACCTTCCCATGGCCTCAGTTCAAAGGCAGGTGCGGCGCGTACCGTGGTTGGCGTCGGCCGGTTGCTCCGTGGTGGTGCCTCGCTCCGGGGGGGGGACTTCGGCTGCTGGTTCTGGGGGCCCAGGTGCTGGCCGGGACGGGGGTGGTGGTGGCGGCGACAGAAGCCGCTGTGGACCTTCCTTCCGCCCTTGGCAGGACCGCCTGGGCCGGGTGGGCCTCGGGGACTTTGCTTTCCTCCTGCTGCTCCACATGCATGGCTCCTTTGGCAGGGGTCTCTGTAGGCGGTGGAAGCCAGATCTAGCCCTTGGGACTCCACCAGAGCCACCTTCCCGTCCCGTCCTGGAGCCCTGTCCCCTTTTCTCCAGCCCCCCAGTGTCTGGTGGCTTCCAGACTTTTGCAGAGTTCGGGGGCTGAGCAAGGTTCTGTCCAGCCCCCGAGCCCAGCAGTCCCTTCCCACTGGCAACCGCCAGCCCTCTCTTCGGCAACACCTCCCCCCCGCCCCCAAGAGTGTCGCAAAACTCTTCAGAATGTCCCCGGCCAGGCGGCTCATCCAGGTGTCGCTCCGTTCAGAGAGGCTGGCGACTCACCGCGGCTGCTCGCCGCCCCCTCGGCATCCTCCCGGCGCCCTGCCTTGTAGTAGGTGATGCCGAGCAGCAGGGCTTGCTGGTGCCCAGGGACTCTGGGCTTGGCGGTGGGCTGCCCTGCCCCTGCCTGGACCTTGGTGCTCTCCTTCCTCAGCTTCTCCGGCTTGGGCAGCCTCTCCTTGGAGCCCTTTGGCACGGCCTTCTCCCCAAGCCCTTTACGAGCGCCAACGTACTTCCCGGCGACCTCCTTGCCTTTGCCCGCTGCCGTGTCCTAGGAAGAACAAGAGCAATGGGCACGGTTTTGGCCCAGTATTCCCTGTTTCAACTTGTTCTGCAGGGACCTGGCCAAAGAGACATCTGTCCCTTTTAATTCCGCATGGCCCTTTTAATTCTGCGCCTGACCCGGGGCCTCCCGCATGAAAAACAGGTGCTCTGCCCCCCAGGTGCAATCTTGCATTTAATCAACACAGGTGTGGGACATCTCAGAGGGGCTAAAAGCCCCACAATTCGCAGCATTCCCCAGCCTGTAGGACTTTTCCCTGTCTGAACGTGCCCGTAAGTTACAGTTTGTATAGGAGGTGGACTGGTATTTTATGGGAATTAAAAGGATGAGAAGTTGCAGACACGGTTGCTGGGTTCAAACAACATGACAAGCCGTGGTGGTCTTTCTCCACTGTTGGTCTGATGTGTTGTCTGAAGCCAGTCGTGGTGTTTCACCATGATCAAGTCTGGACTTTCGCAACCACAGGAAACAACAACGGTTTGAGCTATGGTCCTGTTGAACCACCACGATTTGTCTGAGTGCAGGATTATGGTTTCCACATACAGTCCTGGAATGGAACTACCATGAAGTCCTTTGGAAGGAGCGGCAACCGCAGGAGCCTCTCTATCCCTCGAGCCTCTATGGGCCGACGCATGAGAAATTGCTAGTCAACATGGGCAGGGGATGAAGCACCCAGGGATGGACTGTCAGCTGCAGCGCATGAAGGGATGCGTGCCAACAGTAGGAGGCCTGAGTAGGAAGGATGGAAGCCGGGCTAACAGACTTGATCGTCTGTTGGGCTGATCATGGTAACGACACCGGCTTCCTGGTCCCAAGCGAACCCAGGCGGCGTCTGCAGTGAGCGGGCCCACCTGGACTCTGTGCTCAGGCGCTGCGGCCGCGTCTTTCTGCAGCAGCTGGTAGCCCAAGCTGGAGAGCTCTTTCTTTACGCTCAGCATGACGTCGGTGTAGTTCTCGTAGCGTTTCATCTGGCTGCTGAGCTGCAGGACGCTGTCCTTGACGAGGTTGTTCTCGCGACTCAGGTTGGCCTTGATGGTCTAAGAGAGGATGAGAGTTATTGTGGCTTGTTTCTGAGCCTTCCCGGACGAGCATGAATTGAGACCTAGTCTGCAGTCCAGGTCCACACACTTCAGACTTTAATCCATGGCAGAATCATGTACATTTCCCAGATGGAGAAGATGCTCAAAAATATGCACAGATTTCCATGCAAAAAGAAAAAATAAAACTTGCAACCCGATACAGACCCGAGATGGAATGAGCTCTGAGACAGACTTCAGGAACTTTGTGAGCCTGAGCTTTGCACATTTGCAAGATCCTAAATCTAAGGGAAGGAGGGAATTGAGCAAAGGGGATGCTCATTTAATTAATAACTGATTCCTGGCCAGGATAACCAGTGCCCAGATCTATTCCAGGTGCAGGTGAAGGGCAGTATTTAGCAGAGAGGGGCAGTCAGTCGCTGAGAAGAGTTTTGAGGAGCCATCCTGCACTGGAAGGGGGGGAACACTCCTGAAACTGGGCTGGGAAAACCAACAGAGGTGCCCTTTTCGAGCCCCGTCTGCCCCACTGCCGTTCTCGCCACTCCTGCCTTACCTCCTCCAGGGTGTTCATCTGGCTAACGACCTTGTTGATGTACGAATGGACTTTCATCATGTCGATGCTGTACAGCGTCCCTTCCAGCAAATCCACCATGGACTGCAGCTTGAGAGGAAAGGAGACAATGAGCAGCCCGGCAGAGGATCTGTTTCCTTACGAAATACTGAGTGGCTGGACCCCAAACCTGTTCCTGCTGCATTCTGTCCAGGTAATACCCGGACCAGGGACTTTGGTCTGCCTTGGTTCCGCCTTGGCCACTCTAATCCGCCCCAGTTTCCCAGACTCCCTGCCAGGGCTGGGACCAATTCAGCCAGCTTTTCTGCTCCCCGCAGCCCTTCGTTCCATCGCCATCCAGCGGCCCACCTGCTCCCGTAGCTGCTTGCTTGCTTTGAATACATTTAAATAATGTTTATGGTCAACCCTGATGCCATTGGCGAAGAACCTCAAACTGCCGCTTCGCTGTGTCGCAATCTTGTCGTTCTTTCTCTTCTCCTCGTTTGGTCCGGACTCCCAACCCTTGAAGGAAGCTTTTTCTCTCCCCAATGGCTTCCTGGACTCGCTAACTAAGCTGGTAATTTCCTGGACTTTGTGCTGCCTTTCCTCACTTGTGGTGTGCGTATTTTCTGTGCCTCCACTGCACCAGTTTGAGTAATCCTCAAGTCCTGTGGAACTGATCTCCTCGTCCCCCTTTCCCAGCTTCTGCTTATCCAGGTTCCTTAATTTCCAGTCCCACCCACCCCCCCAGCCCAGAATTCTTGCCACTGCAGGGTTTCAGTGACAAATCCTGGAGGTGCTGCCCGGCACTGAAGCAGAGGCCTTCTGCACGTAAACGGGTTCTGTTGCTGAACTAGGATCCTCTGCTTAAACAGCAAGCAAGATTCTAGTCCTTAGGGTTCTGAAGAAGAGGCCAAGTTAAACAGGGACAGCAGAAGCTGCCTACGGGGACCTTCGGTAAGCTAAGTAAGGGGCCCCCTTGCCAGCCGGGAGAGCTGGCCCGGCCCAGTACCTTGAGGAGCGCGGGGGCTTGCTTCTTGAGTTTCTCCATCTTCCACTCGTTCTCGCAGGGGTTGAGCGAGGCAGGCGGGGCCGTGCAGGAGCAGCGGCAGTCGCTGCCCGAGCTGACCGTCTCCACCGTGTAGAAGTCCTCCACCCTCACCTTGCCCTCCTTGAGGCGGCTGCAGGCGTCCTTGCTGAGCGGCCGCAAGATGCACTTGCAGCGGCAGTCGGAGCCTTCGGACGTCATGCGCACCTGGTCCGTGTCACCAAACACCTGCCGTGGGTTGGATGAGGTTAGGGGCACGGGCTGCCGCTCACCGATCGCGCCGGAGCGCCGGCTGATGTGAGGGGAGCGGCGCGGCAAGAGAAAACCGGGGGGGGGGGTGGCAGAGCCGGCTGGAGCCGGGGGTCAGACTAGATGGCCCGGGAGGCCCCTTCTGACTCGCTCTGTTTCTATGACGGCAGTCCTGAGTCCTGAACATTTTGCTGCAGTTCCCTCTGGACATGTTTCAAGTATATTTGCTTTCTATCAAAAGCCCCCCTGGCAAAACAAAATGCAATGAGGTTAGAATGTATTCAGGCAGGTCTTTGGCATGTAAGCTGTTTTTTTTAGTAGTAGTAAGAATATATTACGATTACATTCACATCCACCTTTCCCCCTCTCACAAGGGGCCCAAGGTGGTCCTTTCTCCATCTTATCTTTACAACAACCCTCCACAAATGTCTCCCGTCCCCTCTTGTAAAGCCGTCCCAATTCTATCGCCGCATCTTGTGGCAGTGAGTTCCGCAGTTCGGCTGCGCATCTGTGTGAAGAAGTCCTTCCTTTTCTTCTCCTTCATGGCATGACCCCATTGGGCTCCAGCATTATAGGAGAGGGAGAACAATGCCTCCCTCCCCGCTTTCTCCCCCACACGAGGCATGATTCCAAACACCTCTGCTAGTCCCCCTTCCCTTCCCCTTTTCTTTACGCCAAGCAGTCCCGGTCGGTCGGTCGGTCGGTCGGTCGGTCGTTGTGGCTGCTCCTTGCGGGCCAGCCACTCCAGCCCCTCAGCTGTGTTTGTTTTTCTGCACTTTCCCAACTCTGCAATATCCTTTTTTAGTCACGGTGACCAGCTCTGCACACAATATTCTAAGTGCTCAGATCAGCCTGAGAGCCATCCGATCTTCGGAGACTAATTTTGGGTTCTTTTCCTAACAACGCCTGGCACGGCGTTTGCCTTCCGAGCTGACGTTTCCACCAAACTGCCCACGGCAGCCCCAGAGGAAATCCTCCAGTGGACCCTTTGCAGAAATCAAGGGGGGGGGGAGACCCCCCCCCCCAATTCTGTAGCCCGCTTGCTGTAAAATCCCTTACGTATCTTTCTTAGGCCGTTCTCAATCGGGTTTGGCCTTGTCAAGTTCTGTCCCAGAACGAATCAGGATCAGTCGCCCCATCTGGGACTCTTCAAAGCAACCCCCCCTGGAGAGTTGCGCCTCCCCCCGGCTAAATTGTATTTTTTCTCAGTGTATTTTTTGTATTCTCAGTGTATTTTTTGTATTTATTGGTAATTTATTATGTTCTATTGTATTTCAATGTATCTTATTGTGTTGTAAGCTGCCCCGAGGCTTCGGCAAGGGGCAGCATAGAAATGTTGTTGTTGTTGTTATTATTATTATTATTATTATTATTGGATGGGTCCAATCCATCAGCTGTTGCCCCCCCCCCCCCAGCTCGGATGTTTCTCGCCCAAGCAAACAGGGAGGATTCATTACATCAAAGGGAGCAGCGCCGGTGGCTGGAAGCGGAAGCCGGAGGTCCTGATCCGGCACACAGGGCAAGTGGCCCAGATTCACTCCTTCTCCAGGGTCGTCCCCCCCCCTGCAAAAAAAGTGGACCAGAACAGCGGCTGTGGATGGGCACACAGCTGGGTATTGTGTCTGGGTGTCACGGGAAGCGAGGGGGGATTTACAGCCCCCCCTAAAATGGCTCCCTCCAGACGGGTTGGACCGCATTTCTCCCCACGCCGCACGCCCTTGGCCATGCTGGCTGGGAATGATGGGAGTCACGGTGCAGGGGAAGATGGGGCTTGAGCCGGCTGGCGCCAAACCAACGCTGGGGTGGGAGGCAAGGATTCTCGTTGCATCACCGTTTCCTCTGAGAAAAGCGTCACTAATTTGGTGGTGGAGGAAGCTGGCCAGGAATCTGGGACGGAGTTTGGAGGGGGGGGGCGAGCACAGGTGGGGAGGCAGCTGCCGGGCCGTGCCTTCCGTTGCCGTTCACAGGCTCCGATCGGCGCAGGATGTGGGCAGAGAGGCAGCCGTGTCTCTCCACACCTCTATCCCCTTATGGCACCCACCGCCACCGCGGCCGAAAGTTTAGAAGGGAAAGCACACGGCAAGGCAGATCTGGCATTCCCAGAAATTTTGACTGCTTTCCCAGAGAGGATGCGACAAACACCTTCCCGGTGCTCGGTCCGTTCTTCCGGATGCAGGTCTGGGGCGCAGGAAGCCGAGGGGCTCCTTTCAGGCTTGGCGTGTGGAGCTATTCTGGATCAGAGCCAGCAAGCCTCCCATCCATGTTTTCCAGCCCCTGGTATAGACAGGCATGACCTACGACCATGAGGACTAGTAGCCTAATTGCCAGCCTTCTCCCCCCCGAATTAGTCTGTTTCCCTTTCCCAGCCATTCAGGTTGGTGACCGTCACTCCATCTTGAGGCAGCAAATTCCCTGGTCCAACTGTGCAGGGCAGCGTCAAGGGTAGGCATGAAGGGCACTTGCCGAGGGCCCAATCACACCAGGATCTCGCCAACAGAAGCCCCCTGCAGTGACCCCAAGGAACCTAGAAGCAGCCCTGCCAGATCTTGTCTGCGTTCCATGGCAATGGGAACGCCCTCGAGCTATGCCCATGTGCCCCAGCACCACCTCTGCTCCCGGAGGCGGTGCAGAGCGTCCGATCGCCTTCCCTTCCCTTCCCTTCCCTTCCCTTCCCTTCCCTTCCCTTCCCTTCCCTTCCGTCTGCTGGTGGGAAGTTCTGCGGAAGGGCTGGGGTGGGAACAGCTGGCCTGCAGCAGCCCGGCCTCCCCCCACGCCGCCGACCCTTGGTGGGGAGCCGCGCTTTCCCACACTTCTCGGCTGACTTTCACAGGCCGCCTCTGAAATGGAGGAAAGCTCCGTGGCACTCTTGGGATGCATCTCCGGAACGCCTCCAGCTGTGCCCTGGGGAGGTGGGGGGCTGGCAGGATCCCCCCCGCCCCCCGAGCGGCGGGCAGCCAAGACACAGGAGCTGCTCGGAGGCTGCTGGCACAGCTCAGCTTGCAGGGGTGGGGGGCAAAGGCAGCCAGAAGAGGCTGTGTGGTCGGTTCCCAGCCCCCCCACCCCCAATGTCCCTCGGAGTGTCTCTTCCTTGGGAAGTGGAGCTCTCAGCCTTTTGCAGAGAGAACTTGGGGGTTGGAGCAGGGATGCGACCCGGATCATCTAGGAGGCCATCGGCTCCCATGCAGCGATTTAACATATTCCTCAGCCAAGGCTCACAATTCTCCACAGGCTTACATGCCATGAGACACGGCACAAGAGGAAGAAAGCATGAGGAGGGAAGAGGAAAAAGGCAAACTGGGGCAACCATCCTTCAGGGGCTTTTCTTGGACTAATGCCCCTGCCCAGTTTGCCTTAGCAAACATGTTGGGAGCAGGACCTAGAACTGCCTTTCTCTGGCAGCTGCTGGGAGTGGCTGGGGTGGGGTGGGGGCGTCGCTGCACTGTAGAACTGCTTTCTCTTGGGAACCCAACTAGGAAATGCTTCCTGACCCGTTGCACTACAAACCCCATGATCCCCAGACACGGGGTCAGCTGGGGATGAGAGGGGCTGTTGTCCAAGATAGCTGGAAGATGGCCCTTCCAACCTTATGTTAGAGAAGGAAGGATTTCCCAGGGCCCGAAGGACAGAGACGGCAGGACTGCGGAGAGCCAATCCGGCTCGCTTCCCTTCCCAAATATAGGCAAACGCAGGCTGTGGTGTGTTGTGGAAACGGCTTCCTCAAACAGGAACCATGTGGGCTCTGCCTGCCGTGGGGAAGTGAGCGAGTCTTAATAAAGCAAGCGGATTTGGGAGTGACGCTTGGCACACGTGCCGGTATCAGCAGGATCCTGCCCCCACGCCGGCAGTTGTCTCCCTCCAAGCAGGGCCCTGGTCCAGAGAGGGCCATAAACCTGCTCTTCCGGAGAATGCCTCTCCCCACACACGCAGCTAGAAGCCCCTCTCGCCGGTCCTTGGAGCCGCCCCCAGAATCTGGCAAAAGCCGAGCCGTCTGGGGAGAAGCCAGAGCAGGGCTTCTGGGCGGACGTGGGAGCGAGCGTTTTCCTTGTTGCAACATGCGTAAGTTTGCATCTTAGAACCGCTCGATCCGGCCTCTGAAGCAAGCCTTCCCAACCCAGCGCAGGCCAGGTACATCGGACGACAATTCCCATCCTCCAGCCAGAGGCAGAGGCAGAGGGCCAGAAACAGGGCCCTGGGTTCCAGCGGCACTCCTGCCAAGCTCCTTCGGCCAAGCACGCGGCCACGGCCACGGAAAGGCTTGGAGGTGGCACCTGCTGGGGGAGAGCCATGCGGAGGCCGAGGCCGGTGCGCATTCCCAGCTGTGGCAGCCGGCCGGCCCTCCACGGAAGCGGCCCGCCTGGCTCTCGGCGGACGGACGGACGGACGGACGGGGCTTGCCAAGGCCGGATTGCGTGGGAGCAGAGCAGTCATGAGACTGCCCTTTGCCGCTGCTCCGGCGGTTTCCGAGGAGCTGCCCCTCGGCCCACTTTCGCGGCGGGCCAAAGGGCTCTGCAGGAGGCGGCTCGGCTGGCAGCTGCTCCAAGGAAGAGGGGCCACCAGCACTGGCATCCGGGGGGGGGGGCACCCGCGGAGCATGTCCCCACACGCATGGGGGACTGTGGAAATCCCCCTTCCTTCGACAACTGACGCGGCACAGCACAAGCCGCTCTCCAGCCCACTGAGAAGGCTTGAGTGGCAGGCGCTGGGAGCCAGTCACGCCTCCCTGGGCGCTCTCATTTCACTGGGTCTACTCCAAGTAGGACTCGCTGCACCGCTTTTTCCGCTGCAGGAGCCTTCTCGCTCTGATTTCTCCCAGACCTGCTTCTGGACTCACAGCTCCAGCCACAACAGTTTGCTAATTTGTTCATTCAGTCATATCTTAATATCTGGCTTTTTCCTGCAAGGAACCTGGGGCAGTTTATCTCCCCCTCTTCCCCCTTTTATCCTCTCAACAACCCGGTGGAATAGGCCATATTTGAATT